GAGAGGAAGGGAAAGAGAGAGAGGAAGGGAAAGAGACCGAGGGAGGGAGGGAGGTGGGAGAAGAAAGGAGGGGGGAGAGAGAAACATAGGTTTGTTGTCCCACTTACTGATGCATTCATTGTTGATTTCTTGTATGTGCCCTGACCAGGGATTGAACCTACTCAACTTGCAACCTTGGCTTATCAGGACAATGCTTTAACCAACTGAGCTACCTGGCCAGGGCCCACTTTTTTTCTTTTTTATTAAAATCACTGTACTTTTCCTCAAGTCACTGCCTCTCTCATAGATATCTGGCATGTACCTAACTCATTCAATCCTATCTATTTACTGAGGACCTACTACTATGTACTGAACACTGTACTAGACACTGGTGCTACAGTGGTGAAAAAACAGGCACAGCCCTTGACCTCATGGAGTTTCAGCCTCATAATCACTGGTCTAACAAATGCAAAATCCTTTCATCTGAAGCTCACATGTCTGGATACTATTGCCCTCCAACCCTCCCACCGTTGGCATGTAGCTGTGTCATTTAGCCCATTCCTCCACACTTGATAGTGGACCACAATGACTGGTGTGCAGTATTCTTCACCTCAAAGTCCTGTAATCATCAAAGAAGAAGACATTTATGTGGGTGACTGTTATCCCTCAACTCTGAAGGCTTTCAACTCTACTGTGTCACTCAGTTCCATTGTAAGACCAGAGATCTTACCTGTTTCTCTTCTAAAATCTTAAACTCTAATATATTCTCAGATAATTTTTCTCTCCTTCTGGTTATTCAACACCTCACTGCTCTAATACCTGTACTTCAGCCTCACTGAGATGTTCAATTCTATCATTTATTTTCTCAAGTTTATTTTCCTATTTCTGGTCTCATTTCCTTCTCAACATGCCTATAGTTAGTTCTTCCCCTAAACTCCTCTTATGCCTGCATTTCTGCCACATCTGCCATGTTACTTTTTACCCTGGGACCAATCTTATAATCTAATTTATTTTACCATGGCTTAATACCTTTGGGAAAAACTGCAAAATTTTGGTCCCACAAATTTATTTCATAGTTACTAATTAATGTCAGTTTTTCAAAACACCAGTACATATTTTATCTGCCCGTAGTGTTCTCTGGCTTATTCCTCCCAGTGACTGACTGCTTCAAACTGTCACTACATTCCTCAAACCTCTGTTCACCCTCAATAGATGACAATGTCTCCCAGTTTATCAAAAGCAGTCTACTGGCCATGGACACTCATGAACATCTAAATGAAGTGGGAGAGCAGGAAGGTTATCAAATCTGTACCTTACTTTCTTCTGCCAGTTTCAGGGAAAGAGGTCTCTCTCACCCAGGCTAACCCCTCATTTTACCTGAGTGCTTAATCTCAGCCTTTGCAATTCTCTTGCCGGTTGTTCCATCACTTATTCTTTCCTTCTCCACTCCTCCCCCTTTCAGTATCATCAATTTCATCTCCACTGGCTTTTCTTTAACTTACAAATATACAGAGGTCTCTCTCATTGCCCCAAAACTCCTTCCTATCTACTGCCTCACACAACTCCTTCCTTCCTCATTCACTTTTTAAAATGCAAGTCTATGTTGGCCATCTTTGCTTTCTTACCTCTCATCCCCTCTGCATGAAATTCTGCCTCTACTCTCACCACTCGCTCTACAGAAACTATTCTTGTCAGGGCAATCAGTGACCTAATTGCTTAGTTTATTTTAATTAATTTTTTTATGTTTAAAGTTAATTTTATTGGAGTGACATTGGTCAATAAGATCATACAGGTTTCAAGTGTACATTTCTGTGCTACATGATCTGTTTATTATTACATTGCGTGCCCATCACCCAAAGTCAAATCATCTTCTGTCCCCATACATTTGGCCCCCTTTATCCTTTACCACTCCCCCATCCCCTTGCTTGTTTTAATGGATACACCCGTTCTTGGTTTCTCTGTTAAATTTGATACTGTTGATGATTCTGACCTTTCCTCGGCTTTTGTGAGGCCACACTCTGTTGATTCTACTATTTTCTGGCCATTTCTTTTTTGTTGTTAATCGTCTTCCTCTATCACTTCAATGTTTGTAGTTTAATTTCTAAGTCCTAAACCTATGTCACTTCAATGTTAAGTTGCTGGGGAGAAGAGGAAGAAAAGGCAAAGACTGAGAAGGGATGACTGGTGAGGCAGGAGGAAAACTAAGAGAGTGTGTCTCCCAGATACCAAGAAAAGAAAGTACATGTAAGAGGAGGGTTATAAGGGGAACAGAAAAATGAGGCCCAGCTAGAAGTGGAAGTTAAGACAAGAGTCTCTTTAGGATGGGAGAAATGCCACCATGTTCGTATGCTGAGGGGAATGACTAAGAAAGAAAAACTGATCATGCAGGAGAGAGGGGACACATCTCTGAGTGGGCAAAAATGGAATCTAACACACCAATGAAGGAAACAGCCTTAAATGGAAGTTGTACACTATATGATTTATTTATCATCTCTTCTAACATGGAAGTGTAAGTTCTACAAAGACAAGGTTTTTTGTGTGTTTTGTTTACTGCTGTAGCCTGGAACAGTACTTGGCATATAACAAACATGCAATGGAGTTGGTTTTAAGGGTGAAAGGAAACATAAAGTACAAATGCAGATAGCTTTTTGTTTTCCTATAAATGGTGCAGAGAAATGTAGCTAAAGCTGGAGGGGCATATGAGATCAAATGATTTTTTTTTAAGATGGGGGACATTACAGCATGTTTGTTAGGGGTGATGGAAATGATCCAGTAGAGAAGGAGAATTTGATGATGCGTAAGACAGAGGAAAAGGCCAGAGTGAAGTCGGTAAATAAAAGAAATAGGACACAATCTAGTGCTGGAGAGGAAGGACTGTCTCAAAAAAAGAGCATGGACAGTTCCCCATTTTTAACTATGGGGAAAGGGACTGACAGAAATGGTAAATGTGAATAGGCGAGGTTCTTTGATTGTTTCTCCTTTCTCAAATATCTATGTATACAAGTTCATCAGCTAAAGGTAAGGAGTAGGTAGGCTATATTGGAAGGCTGGAGGTTTGGGAGATGAGAACTGCCTTAAGAGTGTAGGAGAGTGAATGTCTAGGGAAATACAGAAGAAGTGTAAATGAATGACTGAAACACCTACTCTAGATTAGGGGACATTAATTAAAAGTGAGACAATGTGCCATAGTTCCATTTTTTTCCAGCCTCTTCCAGCTGCCCTGGTGAAAGTGAGAATTAGAAAAGACAGTTTTAACCAGGTTGATTAACAAGCAAGTGTGAACGAGGGGAAAAAGGACAAGGAAAAATGGATTATCCATCTAAAATGGATAAGGAGGGAAGTGAAAAGTGATACTAAAAAAGCAGTAGTATCAATGAATTCTAGGTTGTGGTAGGATCCAAGAATTGTTGGAGCCAGGGTTCTCATTCCTCACAAGTCTTGGTTAAAACTGTGAGCTTCTCAGCAAGGGAAAAGGAGATGGTTACCAATAAAGGAGTTCCCACAGGACTATCATCTGATTTCTCAAAAGAAACCTTGCAGGCAAAATGGGCTGGAAAGAAGTATTCAAAGTCATGAAAGACAAGGACCTATATCCAAGATGACTCTATCCAGCAAAGCTATCATTTAGAACAGAAGGGCAGATAAAGTGCTCCCCAGACAAGGTCAAGTTAAATCATCACCAAGCCCTTATTATACGAACTTTTAAAGAGACTTATCTAAGAAAAAGATCAAAAACTATGAATAGTAAAATGACAACAAACTCACAACTACCAGCAACTGAACCTAAAACAAAAACAAACTAAACAAACAACTAAAAGAGGAACAGAATCACAGAAATGGAGATGGGGGGGGGTGAGAATGGGGGAAATGGTACAGGAAATAAGCATAAATAGTAGGTACGAAATAGACAGGGGGAGGTTAAGAATAGTATAGGTAATGGAGAAGCCAAAGAACTTATATGTACAACCCATGGACATGAACTAAGGCGGGTGGGGAGGTGCAAAGTGGAGGGGAATAAAGGGGAGAAAAAAATGAGACAACTGGAAAAATAAATGGGACATAATCAATAAAATGTATATAAAAACAAAAACCCAAACCTGTGAGCTTCTCATTTCCCGCAAATCCCTTCCCAAGGAACTATAGGGCAAACTTCTCTGACTCTCTAAACCACATCCCACTCGGCCTATTTTGTCAGGCGAGTTTTTACAAAAGTGGAAAGCGCGACTCCCAGTTGCTGCTCCACCCATTCTGCCCCCACCTCTAGGAGCTTAGGGCCGGGCTTTCACGGCGGTCGGCCCCTCCCAAACTCACTGTTTGGACAGTTGTTGGACGTCGCTAACCGTCGGCGAAGAACTTCTTTCCAGTCCATGAGTGACTCCCGCACAGCAGCGCCGGCATTTGCTAACAGCTACACCCGCCACCAGCTCAGAAGTCAAGCATCACCTAGCCTCAGAAAGACGGGGAAGGCTGCTCAGCCGCCATCTTGGACACGGGCGGAAGCCAGCTAAGGAGGCAAAAACGATTAATATAGTCCCTGCGGAGGATATGGCGATCACCCTAACGGGGGAAAGCAGACCTAAGAGAGATAGAAAATGATATCCTTAAGGCAGCTTCCCAATTTTACAAGGCCAGATTTTAAAAGGCAGGATAAGGGAGCCCGTACTTTTATTTCATCTTGGGCCTTTGAAGCGTGGGCACCACGTGACTCAGGAGTCCTTGGGTGTTTCCTTGTGGATATTCGTAGGCCCTAAAGAGAGAGGGCAGACAGTTTCAACAGCCCTCGTCGGCCCTCTCCGCCATTAAAACCTTCAAAATCGCCTTTCACTGCCGGGCCTCCATCCAGGCCAACCACGCCCCCATCCAGGCCAGCCACGCCCCCATCCAGGCCAGCCACGCCCCCATGCCCGGGGTCGTCGCGGTGCATTGTGGGCGAGGTAGTTTCCGCCGCAGATATGGTTGCGTTAATAAAGCGTGAGTGCTCTGGTGAGTTGTTCAATAAGGTGAACTTGGTTTGTGACCGATCTGTGCGCTAGGAGCAGTGCCCTTGGTGGACTTCCCTTTCTTCCCTGAGTTGTTGACTCGGCTCTCTCCCCGCCTACCCCAACCCGTTCCCTTATCTGACGAATTAGGCTGTCTGGAGACAGTTGTTTTGTAGGTCCAGGGCCGCTAGACTTTGGCTTTCGCCATTGCCCTTGCTGAAGCAGGGTCTGGGGCTGGGGGGTTCTTGGCCGCGGTTTTCGACTTTACGCCCCTCCTTCAGCAAGGCCCCCAGCGGATCCTATCCCTTGTCAAGGACAGTTGTGATCCACGTGAGTTGCATTGCGTGGTCCTCCCTGTGCTTTTTCCTCAGGTTCGCGGACTGAAGTATACCAGGCATCATAGATTCCTGCGTTGACCCCTCCTTGGTTCTGCGGAATGCGACCTAGGTTGGTTGTCCTAGGATCATCATTGTTTAATGGAGAAAAGTCCTCAGACTTTGTTGCTATTAAGTGGCCCCAAAAGCAGAGCCTTAATTTTTCTGTGAGAAACTGAAAATCACCTTTAAAAAGTTGCACTTTGACTCCCCCAAATTTCTTGATTATGCTGTAAAGTAGGGGCTTTTTGAACATCTCTTCACTATTTTGTGCTGCTCTCACTGCATAATGACTTTCTGTTTTACTGGCATTAGAAGCTTCCCTAAGCTTTGGAAAAGCAATCCATACCTTGGACTGGGCCCAGGACACTCTTGTAACTCTCTCTTTCTGAAAGACTATTATGGCATCAGGAACCAGCAGAAGTGGTTTTTTCTTCAAACGGCATCTCCACAAAATACCAAAGCAATGAATCTTTTGATTGCAAAGGACAGATATCGCAGGAAAGGCAGCAATAAAGTTTCTTCTGAGTTTCCTCATCTTTTTGCAGCTGGATCAGCTAAGAAGAGATCACAGATGAATCCTCAGAGTAAAGATCATGTCTCGCCACCTGTGAGGAACATTATTCAACTCCCAACAAAACCTTTGAATTCAGAGCAGTGGGATAAACTTAAGGAAGATTTCAAAGGAAAAGCTAATTTTGAAAATTGGATCATTTCACAGATGGCTCACTACAATAGCTCCGTAGATGTGGCCAAATCTTTGCTGGCCTGGGTAGCTACAAAAAACAATGGTATTGTAACCTATAATTTGCTGGTGAAATATTTGTATCTCTGTGTTTTTCATAAGCAGACATCAGAAGTTTTTGATGTATATGAAATCATGAAAGCCAGATACAAGAGTTTAGAATCTGGAGCAAACACTCTTCTCATCCGGGGATTAATCCATTCAGAGAGATGGAGAGAGGCCTTGCTGCTGTTAGAAGACATCAAAAAAGTCATGACCCCTTCAAAAAAGAACTATAATGACTGTATCCAGGGAGCCCTCCTTCATCAAGATGTAAACATAGCTTGGAATTTGTATCAGGAATTGTTATGTCATGATCTTATTCCTATGATGGAAACTTTAAAAGCTTTCTTTGATTTTGGAAAAGACATAAAAGATGATCAGTATTCAAACAAACTACTAGACATTCTTTTGTATCTAAGAAATAATCAGCTATATCCTGGGGAATCATTTGCACACAGTATAAAGACATGGTTTGAGAGGTAATTTTGATTTTTCTTTTTATGTATGTTTTTATTTTAATACCTATATCTAAAAGTAGCCTTCTTTTTCTATTAGTTTCTGAAATTACTCTGTTCAGATTATAGCACCTTTCCCGTGTCTTGGATTTGTTTCCTCTTTAAGACAAAATTTTCTGTATCTAAAAAAATGTATTGAATAGCATAAACAAGTTGTGCTAATCTCTACTATCACAAAAGGGAAATTACAGAGAATTTGTAGTTTTTATGTATTTTTCTGTTTAGAAGGGTCATTTATTTTGTTTTCTGAGCTACCTAGCATCATGTGAGTACTTACCAATAGCACTTGTGGCTGGAGTTAATAGCAAGAAAACCAGCTGTCTTTTGTTTGTATTAGTATTTTCAGAAGTTAGGAAACCTAGTGACTGGTATAATATATATAAAAATATTCTGTTTAATGTATGCATTTCATCATCTTGGATGGTTAGAGTGGAGTGAGGGATCCTGATCAAACCCGATATGCAAGAATTAACATGGAAAATCTTCATCCTTCCAGTTCATTTTAGATTTTGCCAGTACTCAACTACTCTCTCCTAGGCTTTCCTTTGCTTTTCATTTGCTTTTATTCATGTTACTGGCTTCTTGCCTATTCATTGCTTCAGTCTTTTACTTTTTTATTTCTTTACCATTAATTTGCTTCAGGTTATTTCCTAAAAATTTATTCCTTTTCTCATTTTTCTCTTGCTTTCTACTTTGTATCATTGGAGCTTTGAAATGGCAATCAAGCTGAATTATCTTATTTAATAAACTTACTGAATATCAGCAGAAGAGCTAGATTATGAAAATCTTTGACTGCCAAGGATTTTGGATTTTATTTTATCAAGAGTGTTGGGCTTGGAGTGGAGTTTTAGAAAGGTAACTGCCAAAACAATGAGAAAAGAAGATTGGAGAAGGATTAAAATCGGAAATAGAGATATGTTTAGAGGCAATTGTAGGTTTGCATGAGCGATGATGAGGTTCTGAATTAAGAACTGAAGACAGAGAAGGCAATAGAATCAATGGAGTCATGGTTGTATATGTAAGAGGAAAGAAGAAATGATAAGTTGGTTGAGCAAATAAGCATTCTGAGTGCCTCTAATTGGGCCAGGCACTGTGGATATTTTGTGTTATAAGATCTATTATGATCTCATTCACAATTGGGAATGCAATACTTGATAGTAGGTAACAGCAATATAAGATAGGATAAGAGAAGAAATTACTCTGGGCAGAAAGAATCTCTGGCAGCTTTATGGAGAAGGTTAGAATAGAGTTTAATTTAGAGGTTACATTTAGTATTGGTAGATTTAATACCAATTAAGTCTACGGTATTAGTAATACCAATACTACGTGAAGGTAGATTTAAACATGAAGATGAGGATCAGATGACCAGAAGAGAAATGAAGGGAAGTAGGGGATCCAGAGTTGGGGGGTATACCATCAGCTCCTTAGCCTCAGTACAGTATCAACCACTCTTTTAATTAAAACTTTCTAAGGAAATAGTCTCAGCTTTTCAGATCTCTTGCCCACCGATTTTCTAAACTGGATTCAGTAGGAATCTGAGCTGATGATTTGGTTTGCAATCTTTCTTTGTAGTGTTCCTGGAGAACAATGGAAAGGACAATTTACCTCAATCCAGAAAAGGTAAGGCCAGTATTTTATTTTTAATTTTTTGATTCAGGTTTTAATAGCCTTTTTTGCTACCATTCAGAAAGTTTTTATGAATAATTTAGAGGTAAGATAACTAAGAGTTAGAATACCCAAGAAAAAAGCCATGTTTTGCATATGGAGAATTTGCAGAGCTCAAAATGTTTTTCCTGTAGGTGCCATGAACCTGATGTGAAGCCTCAGGATTGTTTTCCTCTAGTTGTGTTTTAGGAATAACTTTAAAAACTTTATTGGTTACCCAGCAGTCTACTCTTTCGGGTTCTCTGGCACACTAATGTGTGACATTATCAGGTTTACAAAAAACCATGTAATGCATGTGATTATCATAAAGGTTTAATATTTTTAAAATTATCTTTCAATTTCCTCATGTCCCAGGGTTATTCATTTTAGAAAAAGTTCTTTGCCAGGACACTATTTAACACAAACAATTGTAATTACAGTGGTCAATGTTTGGGCTGTGGAAAAACCATAGAGTCTATTCATCTGAGTCCAGAAGAGTATGAATTTCTAAAGGGAAAAATCATGAGGGATGTGATAGATGGAGGTGACCAATATAGGAAGACAACACCTCAGGTAAGTCTGCACCAGGTTTTATTGGTGTCTAGAGCAGGGGATGGCAATTTTTTCTTTAAAAGGCCAGATAGTAAAAAAAATCTTTTTTATAATCCTCACCCAAGGATATGTTTTTGATTTTAGAGAGGGAGGAGAGAGAGAGAAACATTGATGTGAGAGAAACACCAATTGGTTGCCTCCCACATGCATCCCAACCAGGGACTGAACCCATAATCTTTTGGTGCATGGGATGATGTTCCAACCAACTGAACTATCCAGCCATAGCCATACAGTAACTATTTTATGCTTTGTGGGACCTACAGTCTCTGTTGCAACTTTTCTACTCTGCTATTGTAGTAAAAACAGTTACAGGCAATAAATAAATGAGCATGACTGTGTTTCAGTAGTACTGTATCATAGTAAGAGTGGGCTGGGTTTTTTTTTTTCCTTTTTATTTTTATTTTTATTTTTTATTGTTTTTAAAGCACCGTTGTCTCCATCTTACCCCCACCCCACCCTCAATCCTAACCACCTTTGGCTTTGTCCATGGGTCCTTTATACATGTTCCTTGATGACCCTTCCCTTTTTTCCCCTCATTATCCCCCTCCCCCCTACCCTGTGGTTACTGTGAGTTTGTTCATTATTTCAATGTCTCTGGTTATATTTTGCTTGCTTGTTTGTTTTGTTGATTAGATTCCACTAATAGGTGAGATCATATTGTATTGGTCTTTTACCAGCTGGCTTATTTCACTTAGCATAATGTTCTCCAGTTCCATCCATGCTGTCAGGAAGGGTAGGAGCTCCTTCTTTCTTTCTGCTGTGTAGTATTCCATTGTATAAATGTATCATAGTTTTTTGTTTATTTATTTGTTTGTTTATTTTTTAAATGCAGAGAGAAGCAATGTGCTGGATTTGGCCTGCTGGGCATAGTTGCAAACCTTTAAGAGAGATTGCTTTAGAATTTCATAGACCATTTCAGTTAGACTATTAGACATCTATTAAAGTCAGTCTTATTTCATCTGGGCACAAGTGCCCTTAAGCCAAAAAGACAGATGGTGATTCTTTGTCTAAGTGCTTCCGTGAAAACATGGTTTCTTATGATTTTTCTAGTCAAGAGGATTTAAGATATCTTAACAAATTTTTCTCCAAGTTTTCTTTCTATTAAATTTGATTCTCCAGGTCATTTTTAATAGCTTTATTTTGCTAGTCTTTAGTACTTGATGCTGGTTTACTAAGATTAAGTTGAAGTAAAATGTTTTTACCTTGGGGAAAGGCTGCCCATCATCTCACTGAATGCTTTTTCTTCAAAATACCAAATAAAAACAAGAAGTAAAAATTGTTCTGCCCTCTCACCTTGACTTAATATTGTCAGATAATGCCCCTAGATCATAAGAAAAGCTTTAATCCTCAGAATACAGTCAAAATCTGGTCCATAAAAACGTTACCTCCATTTTATAGCATACCTTTTAGCTAACTTTATTGATAAAATTGTAGTTAACATTTATCAAGTGATGCTAAGTACTTTCCATTCATTATCTTACATCTTTTTTAATCCTTATGACCCACCCTAGATGGTACTATTTTATTTCTATTTTATAAATACAGCGATTCAGACTTTGGGAGATTAAATCTGCTAGAGGACAGCTTGCTAATAAAATCTAGGTTTGACCCACCCTACCAAAAAACACCCTTTTTTGTTACACTCTACTGCCATTCATGGAATAAAGAGTTATAGTAACAACTGTAACTGACAGTCAACTGGTTGTAGTAGTTCTTTAATGCCATAGGAATTTCTGCCAGCTAAAATATGAATGAAACAGATTTCCTTTCTCTTATCAAATGTCTATTGAACACTTATGAGTATCCTCTGAAGTAGATGTTAAGAGAGATGCAAGATTGTATGAATTATGCTGTTTGCAATCAAAAACTTCCGTTTCTGTGTGGACTAATTGAATATTCTTTCTATCCTCCTTTTTTTTTTTTTTTTTAACAATTTGGTAGTTTCAAAATTTTTATTTGTTGATTTTTAAAGAGACAAAGAGGAAGGAGAGAGAGAGAGAGGAAAAAGAGAAGACATCTAATTACTTTTCCACTTATTTATGCCTTCATTGGTTGATTGTTATATGTGTCTGGACTGGGGACTGAACCCAAAACCTTGGTGTATTGGTATGACACTCTAACCAACCAGGGCTCTGACCAGGGCTCCACCTTCCAGTTTTTTATTTAGTAAAAATTTCAACCTAAGGAAAAATGGAAAAACATAGTGGACACCTGTATATTCTTCACCTAAAGTAACCAGTTATTATGGCACAAACACTTTCTCTCCACATATGTGTTTTTATGAACCACTTAAAAATAAGTAGTAGACATGTTACTATAAATGTTTCAGCAAATATCTTCTAGGAATAAGAAAATTCTATGTAATTAAATACCATTATCACATTTAAGAACCTTACCATTAAGTCAATGTCATTTATTTTACTTTTTAAATTATATTTTATAGTTTATGCTATTACAGTTGTCCCTACTTTTCCCTCTTTGGCCCACCTCTATTCCCCACCCCCCAAGCAATCCCCACATTGTGTCAGTGTCCATGGGTTCTTTCTTTTGTCCAGTCGCATCTCCCCCTACCCCTCCAAGTGCTGTCAGTGCATTCCATGTCTCTATATCCCACTGTTTCTGTTTTGTTCACTAGTTTATTTTTCTCATTAGAATCCACATATAAGTGAGATCATATATTATTTGCCTTTTGCTGACTGACTTATTTCACTTGGCGTAATAGTCTCTAGGTCTATCCATGCTGTCCCCAAAAGTAAGAGTTCCTTCTTTTTCACTGCTGTGTAGTATTCATTGTATACACGTATCACAGCTTTTTTATCCATTCATCTACTGATGGACACTTGGGCTGTTTCCAGATCTTGGCTATTGTAAATAGTGCTGTTATGAACATAGGGGTGCATATATTCTTTTGAATGGGTATTTTGGGATTCTTAGGATATATTCCCAGAAGAGGAATTGCTGGATTAAAAGGCAGTGCCATTTTTAATTTTCTGAGGAAACTCCATACTGTTTTCCACAGTGGCTGCACGGGTCTGCAATCCACCAACAATGCACAAGGATTCTCTTCTCCACATCCTCACCAACTCTTGTTGTTTGTTGATTTATTGAGGGTAGCCATTCTGACAGGTGTGAGGTGATCCTTCATTGTGGTTTTAATTTGCATTTCTGTAATAAGTGGCGTTGAGCATATTTTCATACGTCTATTGACGATCTGTATATCCTTGTTGGAGAAGTGTCTATTCAGGTCCTTTGCCAATTTAAAAAATTTTTCTTTAAGATTTTAGTTTTAATTTATTCTCAGAGAGAGGGGAAGGGAGGGTAAAAGAGAGGGAGCGAAACATCGATGTGAGAGAGAAACATCGATTGGTTACCTCTTGTGTGCCCTCTGACCAGGGATTGAACCCCACAACTCAGGCATGTGCACTGACCGGGAATCAAACTGGCAACCCTTTGCTTTTACAGATGGTGTCCAGTCAACTAAGCCACAGTGGTCAGGGCCTTTGCCCATTTTTTAATTGGATTGTTTGTCTTCCTGGTGTTGAGTTCTTTATATATTTTTGAAATTAACTCCTTATCGGATGTATCTTTGGCAAATATATTCTCCCATACAGTGGATTCCCTTTTCATTTTGATGATGGTTTCTTTAGCTGTGCAGAAGTGTTTTGACTTGATGTAGTCCCATTTGTTTATTTTTTTCATTTGTTTCCCTTGCCGTAGGAGGTATATTGGCAAAAATATTTGTAGGTGAGATATCTGAAATTTTACTGCCAATGCTTCTAGGATTTTTATGGTTTCATGACTTACATTTAAGTCTTTAATCTATTTTAAGTTTATTCTTGTGAATAGTGTAAATTGGTGGTCTAGTTTTATTATTTTGCATGTACCAGTCCAGTTTTCCAAACACCGTTTATTGAAGAGACTGTCTTTACTCCATTGTATGCTTTTGCCTCCATGAACGTGGAACATGCTTCCACTTTTTGTATCTTCCTCATTTTCTTTCTTCAGTGTCCTATAGTTTTTCAAGTCAGGTCTTTTACCTCCTTGGTTAAATTTATTCCTAGGTACCCAATTTTTGTTTGTTTGTTTGTTTGTTTGTTTAATAGTAAATGGGATTGTTTTCTTAATTTTTCTAATAGTTTATTATTGCTATATAAAAATGCCATAGATTTATGAGTGTTGATTTTGTTTCCTGCCACTTTGTCAAATTTATTAATTAGGTCTAATAGTTTCTTGGTGAATTATTTAGGGTTTTCTATGTACACTCTAATTTAGTCAGCAAATAATGACAGTTTTACTTCCTCCTTTCCAATTTGGATGCCTTTTATTTCTTCTTGTCTGACTGCTGTGACTAGGACTTCCAGTACTATGTTGAATAAGGGTAGTGTCAGCACTCCAGTGTGATTTAATAAAAAGTACATATTCAAATTTTCCCAGTTGTCCCCTGAATTGTATTTTACAACTTTCCCCACTTCAATCCAGGATTCAGTCAAGGTTCAATCCTCGCTTTTGGTTGTTACATCTCTTTAAATCCATAACAGTCTCCCCTGCCCTTTTTTGTTTTATGACATTGACTTTTTTGAAAAGTCTTGAGTGTTTTATCTTGTGCAGTGCTTTGCAAACTTCACACCTATGAATAACTTGAGGAGATGGTTAGAATGCAAATTATGATTCAGTTGTCTAAAATGGTGCCTGAGATTCTGTATTTTCGTAAGATCCCAAGTGTTGTGTTTATGGTCTTTGGACTACATATTGCATAGCAAGACTGTGTACTAATTGTTTGATTGCTTTCTTTTCATTAATTCAGTATAAAAACACTTGAGTAGACTACATGAGTGATGTCATGTTCCTCTTATTGACTCATAGCAGCCACCTAATATGAAGTTATGCTTTACTCTCGCCGGTATTAAATTTGATTACTACACTAAGAGGGCAACTGCCGCATATCTCCATTGTAAAAGTAC